CCCTCCCCCTTTTTTTGGATTTAGATCTACATCTAGACTCTAGCTAGAACTGTATGATGCACGGCGAGAAAGAGATATGAAATCTAACTACTACAAACATGATATTTGGTAAAATTCAAGGGGGGGGGGATATGCCCCCTCCACCCTCCCTGAACCCTCCCCCTTAATGATTTGGGGGTGGGAACTACCAAAAAAACGGGCACCAACGTTCTTCGTCCTGCAGGAACGACGCAGATAGAAACAAGATCATGGACGTGGCTTTAACTGTAGGCCTACAATGCATAATGATAAGATGCATCCATATCATGCAGAGTTTTGATTTCTTAAAGTAAAGGCCCCAACCCAGTTATGTGTTTAACGATACAAATATATTTTGTTTGGAGGTGTTGTCGAATTGCAATGAGTCTTTTTCTGCAAATTTTGATTTTATTTTTCTTTCCAATTCAAAATGTTCGGTTATGTTCAGTTAGTTAACGTGCTTTGAATCAAGAAGAGGGTTTGGAATAAAGTAAGCCGTGTCACAAATACGAAACTGGCCCAAGAAGAGATCTTATCCATTTGGGCTTCATTTTGTTTTCATACTTTTATAATAGTATGTTCTCGGTAATAGCAAAGATCGTACATAACAAAATGCTCTACTCAGCCGAAAAAGTGTCCGCCGGAAGTCCGCTCATTGCTTCAGATGGCGCTGCTTCACTCTTTCGTTTCTCCAGAAGAAGAGTAGGAATAGCACCTCCTTGCGTACGCAGGTCGACTGCTCTTCATCAGCTGTTCGGGTTCGTTCAGTGCGGAGTTTTGGGTCTTTTAGATTTTAATTACAGCTGGCCTCTCATTCTAAAATCAAATTAAACGAAGAAAACAGTCGCCTCCGGAAGAGGTTTTTTGCCAGCCTAACATCATCATCATCATCATCATCATCATCATCATCATCATCATCATCATCATCATCCAGTGCCAGATCTGCGACAGACATCGGCGATCATGATTTTCCATTCATTCCTTTGCTCGGATGCTCTCAGAAAAGCTAGGTTTCCCTGATCTTTCCCTGTTACCCATTTGTTTAGGTTCCCTAAGTATGTTGTTCTGGGCCTACCCCTGCCTCGCTTGCTCTCAATTTTGCCAGTGAGAGCTAGATGTTCAAGACCCTTATGTCTATTCAGGTGTCCCAAAAACTGCATTTGTCGTTTCCTGATTGTTTTTAACATTGAGCGTCCCACGTGGGCTTCATCAAGCACTACCTCATTTGATTTCTTTTCCTTCCGCGATACTCTTAGCAGTCTCCTAAGAAACCACATTTCTGTTGCCTCTATTTTTAAATAGCCTAACCGTTTTAAAAGAGCGTCCTCCCGAAATTTGAATTCTTATTTATTCAAAAACTTGTTAGTTTCACTTTGATTTTTTTCACACAAGTAGGCCTAGGGCAATTCTTTTTGCAAAGGGTGCGCACCAAATTTTGAGGACACTTTTTTAACTGGCTCAAAGAAAGGAGTGGACCATCTTGTTATGTATGATCATTTGTAATATTTAGTTTACTTAGATCTACTAACTATGGTGTGCAAAGAAGGGGAAAATGTGACACTCAATTGGCATGACGTCATTGCAAAGCAGCGACGCTTTGCACTTTCGAGAGGATAGCGGTAAAAGATTTGGTGCGAAAATAAATGGTGCAATCAAATTTGCCACGCAATTGGCAAGTTGACACACAACTGGGTCCTAACCACGCAAATGGCTCCTTCACATAAACACATGTATTTTCTGATTTTCCCTTTACTCCTTCATCTATTTTTCCTCTTGTCTGTTTTGCATCTTCATTCTTTTTGACCATCATCATGGTCCCATTCAAAAGAAGACCTTCAGTGTGCAATGGGATAATATTTACAAAACAAGAAAGGTCACAATGAGCATCTACAAATTTTGTGGTTTTGGAAACTAAAGCCGAAAAAATTAAATACTTTCAAAGTGAATTCTAAGTTTTTGTTTCTAAGTTGTTTCATGATCAATGGACGGGCCTAACAATGATCTTTAATCCTTATGAAAACTCAACGCCAAAATACGCCCATAGAAAAATCTTTGTTCTTAAAAAGTTGTGACATTCGTAAACCATTCTCTTGCTGATATTATTGAGATCGTGGTGAATGCATCTCATAGCAAAATATTGCATCCCCCCCCCCCGTTTTTTTTTCTCCAAATATGGCTCCTCTCAGTTGGAAGAACGATTGCTGTAAATTAGCGAACATTACAAATTCATTAACTAATAAAGGTAAAAAGGAAATGTAGCTTGTTTAGTGCGCGAATGCTAGCCTTTCTTTCTGAGATATTAAGAAATCTTTGACATATTAGGAGTAAAACTGTGTAATTAATTGGTGCATTCTAAGAAAAAAAAACTGTTTGATCTAATGCTTAAGATGGACTGTGGATATGTAAAATATCTTTTGAAGATTTCTCATGCTTTTGTCCTAGCAAACTCCAAGATTATTTGGTCAACAAGGCACCCAATTGAAACCATCAGACCCTAAAGAAATTTAGAAATGTGCTTCTTTCAAATCCTTAACCAGGAAACTGTTTGAAAAGAGGTGTCTTTGTTCACCTTCAAACTTGAAATGATTTAAACGTCTGGAAAGGATTCGATCCAGATTCCTTTTGTGTCATGTACGAGTTTACAAGAGGTGACTGTCTCAAGCATGTTTTGGCAAAGTTAGCAATTTTGGACAACATCCCTTGAGGAAAAAAATCCCGATAAAACCAAGTTTTCTAGTTAATGAGCTTCGGTGACTTAGGGTAACGTGGATTCTGTGGTGACTTTACGCAGTTTTCCTAATCTAAACAATGTTCATACATGTACTTGTTGTCGGTGCAGGCCCAACGTACAACTTCTATTTACGAGAACATAGAACGCGTATTTATATACAATGCATTTAAGAACGACCGTTATTGGAACAAGAAACTATATGTACGTTTTTAATTCTTTTTTTGTGTGGTTTTTTGCAAGTGTTTTACGGCGCTCGCAACTGCATAAGGTCACATGAGCGCGCGGGACACCCAAACATTTTCAGTATGTAGGAAATTTTGAAGTTTTGCCCAGGTGGCGGCCGAAGCCTACTCTTATCGATTTTAGACCACCAACTTGCGCAACTTGCACACGGGACCTTCGAGATATTTCACCCTTGTCCGAGAAGGCTAGGTGTAGATCTTTCCTACCAGAAGATCAGGGGTGTGGCTGAAAGACAGCAATAAGAAAGGGGCCGAGGGGTAAGAGTAGAAAGGGTGCAGAAAGAGTCAGGATCTCAAAGGAGGGGGCAAAGGAGGTGAAGGGGTGGGGGCAGAAAGTGGAGACGAAAGCAGACGACAGAACATTGCTAGAGAGCAGGAAAGGAGTTGAAAGGAGACTATCTTAGAGAAGAAATTTGTTTTCGTCGCTACCCGGATTCGAACTCGGGACCTTTGAATGAGAGGCGAACACCTTAACCTCTTGGCCGCGAGAGCCCCCACTTTTTTAATCAGAAGCGATTGAATTTCACAATACAACTAAGAGGCTTTGCTTACACTATGGGTGTTTCATAAAATACCAGTGAGTCAGGATCATTTGTAATTTTCAAATTGCTATCTCTGTCTCTCCCCCCCCCCCTTGCCTCTTCATTTCAACCAACAAAAGGTACAATCTCTGACGTTGGAAGAAGGTAGAACAGTTAGGTTAGGACTCCCCCCCCCCCTGAGTGCGGTTTGCCCAAGTATAGTGTTTCTGACGTCACCTCCTCCTTCTATTTTGTCAATCTTTTCCAATGGCCAAGTGAGCTGTTTTCAATATACCACCTAAATCCTTAAAATACAGGTTGTCTTTCTGGACCTTCGACCGACACAAAAAGCAAAACAAAAGCAAAACGAAAGCAAAACAAGACAGCAATAACAACAGCAACAATAGCAACAACACCAACACTATCACCACCAGCAACAACAACAACCACTGCAACAACAACAAAAACAAAAACAAAATACATTATGTATATAAAAGGACACATTTTATAGCACAAAATGTTGGAATGAAATGACCCTCAGTTTATTTCGGTATTGTGCTACATGCGGTTTACGAGAGAAACTTGAAGCCACGAGACATCTACGAGTAGCTTTTGAACTCCACATAATCGACGATGAGAGCGGCGCCTCGACCCTTCCAGGTAGGACGCCACTGGCTCCTGGCCTTCCAGAAGTCTTCCATGGCTGTGGGAGAGTCGTTCTTCCAGGGCTTGGGGGTTGGGTAGTTAGCCCCGTCCCAAAAGATTCCAGCTCCGGTACCGCCGACTCCAACGCTCAAGGTCAAACCAAACTGAAAGGTCCACACAAAATAAATATGAGTATGAGGGGGAATGTAAAATGGAACTAGTAAAAATGATGAGGTGCTTGATATATTAAATGTGGCATCAAGGATAACAGCATGCAACTTGTGTTTGTGATGTAATAGTATGTCGTTTTGCTATCGCCCTCTCGCCCATAGTTGGTATGGGTTCGATTCTCAAATTTGGAAGTCTATCTTGAGTATCTCCGTATTTCTGTTTAATCAAAGTACAGCTATAAAATCACTTTAAAAATGAGTCAGCTAACATCAACGGAAGGTGTCACGAACCCGTGCTATGGTAGCCTGTAAGTGATAAATGAAATACAAATCCTTAAAAAGGTACGGGTAAGAAAAATGTTCGAGTCTTCTTTCTCCTTGACTGTTCTCGCTATTTTACTTGTCAACAGAAACGTCAATCGTATGCTAAAAGTAAAAGATTCCCTGTCCAATGAAAGGATCCTATACCAGAATCTTTAGAAATGCAATGTATTTTCTGTGATGATCGATTTTGGGAAGAGGAGCTCTTAACGCGTAATATCATTATGGGGATTAACAATTCATTTTCCTATCACGCCCCCCCCCTCCCTACCCTACTTGATATTGAAAAAAATAAGAAATCTAATGCTAAGGGAGTACTGTGAACCTTTTCATCTCGTGTTTTGGATCTTACCTCTTGGTCAAAAGGCGCCATCTTTCCGCCAGAACTCCAAATGTTGTGTCCATGGAACCCTCCCAGGTGCCAGAAGCTGCTGCCGGGATCTATTTTCATGATCTCCTGATTGTCAACGAAGAATCTAAGAACAGAGAAACAATGAGCTTGAACATTCATGACACGTTTTGTCGGATTTGGCGAGTTTATAGCCCAACATGAATCCCATTTGAGTAGGAGAGAGGTAAGAAACCTGTGTCAACGTGTCTAGTGTATTGCGATGCAAATAGATAGGGGCATTAGTAAAACATAAAGTGTTTACTTTAAAAAAATATAATGTTCAATAGTGTATAACACAAACAAAACAAAACGATGTCAGAAAAGTGACCTGATGCCCAAACATAATTTTAGGTCTAGCCAATTTTGCGAACTTTCGTGATCTGCAACAATTTTGTTTTGCACTAAATTACTTTTGTAAGCAGCTACAGAAACACTTTACGTTATATTAGTCTAATAAATCCTAGTTACTGAATTGACGGACTACCTTCAACGATGTACACTTGTTTCTTTTTCCTCTTTATAGTGATATCAGATTATTTTTTGTTTTTTGTTGTTGTTTTTGTAAAGTGTTTCATGGCGCTCGCAACTGCATAAGGTCATTTGAGCGCGCGGGACTCACCTTATATTTTTCAGTTGGTAGGAAATTTTAAATTTTGCCCGGGTGGCGGCCGAAGCCTACTCTTATCGATTTTAGACCACCAAGGGTTCTTTAACGTGCGCAACTTGCATACGGGCCCTCCGAGATTTTTTGCCCTTGTCCGAGAAGACTAGGTGTAGATCTTTCCTACCAGAAGATCAGGGGTGTGGTAGAAAGACAGCAGTAAGGAGGAGCCAAGGAGTAGCAGTAGAATGGCTGCAGAAAGAGTCAGGAGCCCAGAGGAAGTGGCAAAGGAGGTGAGGGGGTGGGGGCAGAAAGTGAAAATGAAAGCAGACAACAGAACATTGATAGAGAGCATTAAAGGAGGTGAAAGGAGATAAATTTAGAGAAGAAAGTTTTTCGGTCGCTACCCGGATTCGAACCCGGGACCTTTGAATGAGAGGCTAACACCTTAACCTGTAGGCCACGAGAGCCCCCCTCAAATTATTACTCAGGAAGTATTTACCAAACGCTAAGGGAAAGCTATGAAGTGAGTAAGTCTCGCAGAATATGGAAAACTTTCGGAGAGAAACCTGTTGACTGTTTTAAGCTAAAAAAAATAATACACTCGTCTGCTTGTTTGTCTTTGGGAAATTTCCCAGTCCTCGCTTTTTAACCACCCATTTTAGAACCTGTTCTTCTTCAGCCATTGCGAACTGATACACGTCGTGCCGCGCCGTTCGGCAACGATATAATGATGTCCTCGGAGAATTGAACAGACTCAGAAATATATTACTTGTTTTTATGCCTTCTATTCACTCAGGAAAGTCTCCTCCAAAATGTTCTGAATTGTATAAATGGTTGTATAAAACTTAAAATCACTAATGAAAAAAAAACACCCCAAAAAATATTTCTGTTCTCTGAAAGTTATGTATACGTAAGCATTAATTTTGCCCCTCCCCCAAATATAAAAATCTATGAGGTAAAACTTTGAAATTGATTCACAGGAAGTAATTTTGTCTGTTTTTCTCAAGTCTTTTAAAAAGAGCAAATTGAAAGTGCGTCGAACTCCAGTTTCAAATGTTATAAAACATTCAGAAAATAAAGATGTCGAGATTTTCATGATTACAAAGCAGACAGTTTCATAGAAAATTGATAAACAGTAACTCTATGCTAGGGTCAGTGTCAGTTTTAGAGTTATGTCAAAATCTATTCACAATATTTGAACCAATAGCCTTCAGATGCAAGCTGAATCTTGCTTGAAGTCTCTTGTTTTAATACGAGTTTTACAGCACTTGCAACACAATAAGGGCATATAAGTGCTGAAAAATAGAGGTGTTACAAGAGAGTAACTAAAACGAAAATAGGAGGAGGAGAGATGAGGAGAATAGATGTTTTTTTGGTTTTTATAAAGTGTTTTACGGCGCTGGCAACTGCGTAAGGTCATATGAGCGCGCGGGACACACCTTATATTTTTCAGTTGGTAGGAAATTTTGAATTTTGCCCGGGTGGCGGCCGAAGCCTACTCTTATCGATTTTAGACCACCAAGGGATCTTTAACGTGCGCAACTTGCACATGGGCCCTCCGAGATTTTTCGCCCTTGTCCGAGAAGGCTAGGTGTAGATCTTTCCTACCAGAAGATCAGGGGTGTGGCAGAAAGACAGCAGTAAGAAGGAGTCAAGGAGTAGCAGTAGAAAGGCTGCAGAAAGAGTCAGGAGCCCAGAGGAGGGGGCAAAGGAGGTGAGGGGGTGGGGGCAGAAAGTGGAAATGAAAGCAGTCAACAGAACATTGCTAGAGAGCAGGAAAGGAGGTGAAAGGAGACAATTTTAGAGAAGAAAATTTTTCGATCGCTACCAAGATTCGAACCTGGGACCTTTGAATCAGAGGCCAACACCTTAACTTCTAGGCCACGAAAGCCCCCAATAGATGTTTGATAGGAAAGTATGAGCAAACCACACAAGAGCACCCGCCATTTTCGTAAACGATAAAATAATAACATAATAATTGTGAATACTTACAACATGTGAGTTGGTGTCCACTCAAGTTTCCAAGTGTGATACTCTGAGTGCCAATTGGACGAGCGTCTGGAGAAGAGACAGTTCAAATAAATATGCACATTCTTCTTTTTCCTAAACTTAATTTTAAGTGATGTCGACGAAATTAATTTGGTTTGAATAATGTGCATCATCCAAACTGGTGCACTGAAATGTGGAATGTCAATATTATTTAGCTTCTTCTTTCGAAATACCCAAATCTCACAATTTTGCTTGTCATACTCTATTGAAAAAAACTTCAGTGTGTGAGTCACACTCAAATAAATGGTTTTCCCTTGGTATGGGCCATGACGTGCGCTTCAAGAGTAAAAATCAAAGCTTCAAGAAAGAAGCCACAAACTTTGAATTTGGTTACATCAATCAATAGGTTTGCAGGCTGTTCTAAATCAGTAGAGAAGCTGGGGGTAAACTGAACACGATACATGGCAGGTAGGAATTTCGAAATGTTCACAGAAATCGTGTACCTTACATTGCATGAGAGGAGGATGAAGCATCAAGAAGTCTCAAAACACTTAAAAGTGAAAATGAATTAACTGCAAAACTACAAAATTCAAGGTCAATAATAAAGTTACAAATTCTTTTTGAAGAAGGAGTGGAGAGGGAAGAAGAAAAGGTAAGTGGAGTGGAGTGGGGTTGGGTGGGGTAGGGTGGGGGGGGGGAGAACAAGGGAAGTTACACTGAAAGCGAATCTGTTGTCTCATAAGCTCATATCTTCTATTAACCTCATGACAAATAAAACAAACAAAACAACCCCCCCCCCAAAAAAAAAAAAAAAAAAAAATCAAAAAATCAAAAACCCCCCCCCCCAAAAAAAAACACACCAAAAAAACAACAAAAAACACAACAACAACAACAAAAAACGTGTCATATCAAATGGTAATGCGTCTCAAACTTCTCCGATTCAGGCCATGTAACATTCTCCTTACAATGTGCAGAACATGAGAAAAGGATGACAGATACGACTGTCACAGTCTTGGCTATCGTTGAATTCAGTGGGAAGAAAAGGGAAATGACTCGATGTATATAGGTTATTGTTGCATAACGTCCTCTGTGCCTTGTGTACGTGAAGTTAATGATGGATTCGAACTGACAATTTATTATTATAGTGTTCTCTTTGTACCAGGCATTGCTTAATGGGCAGTTGTCTTCATCACGATCCATTATTTCCTGGTTATAATTTTTTTTAAGCTAGAAAAATTGGGTTTGGGCAAATTAATTTAAGAGTAAACCATTATTAGAATATTGCTATAAACTCAAAAACTGCCCTTTTCAAGTCTTAAAATCTCGTAAAGGATTTCTCCTATCTAAAAATAAAAACTGTTAAATTACTTATGAGTAGAGGTTTTGGAAGAGCCATCTTGGTCCGAAGAAGGACCCCAATGCAATGCGCTAAGTAGTGTTTCAATGCCAAAGTAGCCCAAGTTACCTGTAAAAAGAAACAGTGTACATTTTCATGATCATTATCTAGTGTAAAGCAGCATCAAGCAGTCCTAAAATGGAAAATAAGAGTAGCTAGGAGGAATGTATAATATGTATTTATATAATATATGATGTGAAATATATACAATATGTACAAATGTAGGAAAGAAGGTAGATAACACTAACAATGTCACCTTAGCAGAGACTGTGCCCACCATTTCGGAACTTCACGGTGACCGTAAAGATGGTTCCAGTAGGGAACGGGAGAGAGTGTGCCCACGTCCCTCGTGACTCATTGGAGCAGAGGAAGATAGGACTAACGCTAACATTATTTAAACGCAATCCCACATCATCACTCATCACCACCATTATATCTAAAATCATCACCGCTCTCAGATAAATGGCTTACATCTATAACCATGGAATCTCTATCTGCTATTACAGTTAGGCTACTTGTTTTACTAAGTATGCACGTAATACACTATTGGACACTATCATACGCACTTTTTTCTACTAATCAGATGGCGTCAATTTCATTAAAATGGGCAAGGGATAAAAAAGGTAAGATAGGTAGGTAGGTAGAAAGGAAGGAAGGAGGGAAGGAAGGAAGGAAGGTAGTTAGGTAGGTATATAATAAATTTAACATACATTATATATATATATATATATATATATATATATATATATATATATAATATATATTTTAAAAAAAATATATACATTATATATATATATGCATATATATATATTATATATATATATATATATTTATATATATATATATATATATATACATGCATATTATAATAGATAGATATATAGATAGATAGATAGATAGAGATAAAAAGTGAGAGAGAGAAAGAGAGAGTGCGAGAGAGAGAAAGAGTGCGATAGATAGATAGGATAGAGATTTAGAGAGAAAGATAGAATGAGAGAGAAAGAGAGTGCAAAAGATAGAAAGACAGAGAGAGATAGAGAGAGATAGAGAGATAGAAAGAGAGAAAGATATATATATATATATATATATATATATATATATATATATATATATATATATAGAGAGAGAGAGAGAGAGAGAGAGAGAGAGAGAGAGAGAGAGAGAGAGAGAGAGAGAGTGTGTGTGTGTGTGAAAGAGAGAGAGAGAGAGAGAGAGAGAGAGAGAGAGAGAGAGAGAGAGAGAGAGAGAGAGAGAATGAGCGAGAGAGAAATCTGAAGTACTAGTACTGGGACTGACACAGGGCCCCATACAGGGAATGTTTCACGTTAATCTTGTATTTCGGTTTATCAGCATCTATCAATCGTTAATTTGTGTCTCATTACAGAGACAGAAAGACAATAATTTTCGGGAGAAATCGTATAATTAAAGGCTACCTCTGGACTCCATGATGTCGATCTCCCCAGATCTAGGCCAGTGTCCGTACTTGTCGTCCCTAGGTCTCATCCAGATGGCTGAAGGACAGAGGTAAAGATATTTATTTTAATTGAGGACAAGCGAAAGTAGTTACATAATGGATTTCTTTCGTAACCTCGGCAAAGTTTGTGGGGCATAATGGTTAAAAAAACTTTGCAAAGATTACAATTTGGGGTCTCCAAATCGGGGACCAGTTTGGTTAAAGTGAGTCTTAGGATCACATTTTAAGTGTATTTATTATTCTGGAGAGCATGCATATCTACAAATATTGAATAAGATTGCTTTAACATTGTGGGATTTAAAAAAATACTTTTTGGGGTTACAATCGAAGAATGCGACTATTTTATACAAAAAGTATTTCGTAGCCATTCCTTCCCCTTACGATTTTCGAAACTCCCTCACTATCAATTTTCAGATTTGCCAAATTGAAAAAAATGACACAAGTGTGTATAGCAGAGAGCTCCCAATCGGGGTTGCTAGGTTAGAGACAGGTACCGCTCCACAAGCAAGTATCTTCATAAGGAACATATATGTGAGGCATCGTGGTGGAATCAGGCTCTCGTCAATTTTTGGGCATGTAGAGTCATTGGTATTATCTTAAAGCTTATTCACTTGTCTTTATTTGGATGAAAATAATATACATTTATATTGAATACTAGTCGAGATATTTGCGAAAGAAGGAGGTGGGGGTCACCTGTTTTCAGAGGTAAAATTAGTGAGAAAATGGCCTTTAATCAACGTTTTTCAGAAAAATCCATACAGAAATGAGTTCTTTATAGGGCATGAAAGGTGTTGAGCCAAAAACCAAAAATTTGATAAAAATTCACAAACCTGCGGAAAAATGCAAGTTTCTTCATTTTGATTATTTTGACGAGAGCCTGATTCCACCATGCTGCCTCACATATAGTAAAATCAATTAATTTTGTGGAACCTACAAAAGTTCACAGCGACGATGTCTGCAGCTAGGACTTGTCTACTCCTTATGGTCTGCATTTTAAAGGTATATCTTCATATACGACTGTACTATTTTCCTGTTCGCGAAGCTGACATAGATAAGAGGACAGCAATATGTTCATGATTCTTCTTTCTTCGTACTGAAAAGCGAGAACATCTCCTCGGTGAAATTTGTTTCTTGGCAAAGCCCACATTCACCTTTCAGGATATGTTAACTCCACAAATGCAGTCTATTTAGGCAACCCCATCCTACCCCCTATTGTCTCTAGAAACAACTTCATACTGTAAGGTGAACAGTGTGTGTGGCTTTGAATTCTCATTGTTGGGTGGATCCTTGTGTTTGGCCACCACTGAATATTACAAACGACGCGTTAAAATGTGCCGAGTCCAAAGAAGGACATATGAAGCAATGGTTCTCGGAATTCCAGAATTTTACCCCCCCCCCCTTAAAAAAAATTAATTAAATTAAATTTTTTAAAAAAATTGTTAAAACTCTGTAAGAAAAAAGAAATATAGTTTAAATATTACAAAGATGGAACGATTAAATTTTAAAAAAGAAAAGAAAGGGAACATGCAAACCAATCATTTCATGACTCTCCTAACAAGATCTTTTAAATTGGTGCTTTTTGCATTTATAAGTGGTTTTTATAAAAGCCATTTCCGTTTAAGAAAGCAGGTGTTTTCCTTTATAAATTCAATGTCAAACAAACTCCTTCTGGATGAATTATATCTCTTTCAAACTTCAACATTCTAGTACAAATTTCGAGCGAGATATTCAGAAACAATACCCGGGATGGCTCTGACAGGCAAGGCCGGAAACCCGCCTCTAATTTTAGGGAACCCTAATTTTAATGATCTGAACTGTGTCGATCGAATGGGGGAGGGTGGGGGGGGTTAAACATCTGCAACAACAACAACAACAATAACAACAACAGCAACAACAACAACAGCAACAACAACAACAACAACAACAACAACAACAACAACAACAACCACAAACTCACCGGGATGGAGCCAGTCTCCTCTGGGAATTCTTGCTCTCACCTCCACGGTGCCGAACTTGAGGGTGGGGACACTGTTGATACGGCCGGACATGACGGGAGGGAGGAGACCATCCTTGCCCTCTCTGTGGCATCCACTGTTGGCGTGGTTTGTGCATGTGCCGTACAAAGCTGGGGGAGAAACAAGGACGTGATGTTAGAATGTGTCATTTTGTGTGAGGCTTTTTCCTTCGTCGTGCATGGCAAGATAGTGAAATAAAAATGTGAGGTTACAATACGAGTGAGGCTTTTTCATTTGTCGTACATGGCTGGGTAGTGAAATAAAGATGTGATGTTAGAATCTTATGTGTAAGATTCGTTCATTCGTCGTACATTCATGGTGGCGTCGGTGGCCTAGTGGTTAGGCTACCGGACTCGTGAAATTGTGGGTTCGGGGGTTCGAGCCTCAGCTCGGTCCGACGTTTGGTCCCTGGGAAAGGCACTTTACACGAATTTCCCACTTGGCTAGATCCTTTCGGAGATGGATGTTAAACTCGAAGGTCCCGCCTAAAAAATAACCTTCTACTGTTGATAGTTAGACCTATACCATTTCATTTCATTTCGCACACTCGTGGCTAGGTAAGGTAGTTAAATAAAGATGTGATGTTGGAATATGTGCGAGGTTTGTTCATTTGTCGTACATGGTTAAGTAGTGAAATAAAGAGGTGATGTCGGAGTATTTGTGAGATTTGTGCACTTACCGTACATGACTGGGAGAGAAAACGATGCTAGTATGTGAGTAAATATGTGTTTATTCAGTGTGTAAGACCATTTGCCACATCACATAAAACAGTCAAGTCTTAAATAAAGTTTCCATAATGAAATAGTACAGGTTGTGCACTTAAATCTTTTCATTGGTCAAACATAGCATATTTCTGTCACTGACCCCGAGCCAGGCTGGGTTTTTTTGGGGTTTTTTTTTTTGGGGGGGGGGGGTGTATTAACGATAATTTACTTTGAAAGGCAAAATTTGAACAATATAAAAATAAGTGAAATTCAGGTTTAGTTTCATGAGGAAAGTTACGCGATGTTATACATGTAATAATGTGTTAGGTGTGTTTATTTGCCGTACATGGCTGGGTAGAGAAATAAAGATGATGTATTACGTGGGACTAGCTATGGATAGTTTCAAGCTGTCTACGAGTGAATACAGCAGCTTAAACTTGTAAATATTGTTTGAAAAAGACTTTTTTGTACGTGTGTGTATATAAATGTATGTGTGTGTGTGTGTGTGTGTGTGTGTATGTGTGTGTGTGTGTGTGTGTGTGTACATGTGTACGTACGTATGTATCTTTGTGTGTACGTGTGTGTGTGTGTGTGTTTTCGAGTGAGAGAGAGAAAGAAAGAAAGAAAGAAAAAAGAGAGAGAGAGGGAGAGAGAGAGAGAGAGAGAGAGAGAGAGAGAGAGAGAGAAAGAGACAGAGAGAGAGAGAAAGAGACACAGAGAGAGAGAGAGAGAGAGAGAGAAAGAGAGAGAGAGAGAGAAAGAGAGAGAGAGGGGGTGGGAGAACCATCGCCTATTTAGAAAAGCGACAACAACAACAACAACAACAGCAACACAGACCTTGCATGTCCATAACACCGGTATGCAATGAGGCTTCAGTAAATCTGTGATCGTCTGTAGTGAGCGTCTGAAAAGACAATGCGTTACGATTGAAGAAACTATGACTCAAAAGGTGCAGAACGTAAGAAAAAGAAGACTTTCACATTTCTGAAAAGCGGCAGAGCATAATACCAGGCAGGAGCAAATAAGAGGTCACGGATATACAGGAGGAGCCTGGTTGAGATATGAGACGCATATCAATATTAAAGAGAGTTTTAGGCACAGAACACTTATGAATCAATGCTGATTGACGAGGAAAGAAAGAAGGCTGAATTGAGTAGTATGGAGGCAAAATAAACAAGAACATATTTTGTCAGATATAATTTGAAACTCGAGAAACATAATAATTCAAGAGACGGATAAGCTTACGGGATTTGGGAAGGGGGGGGGGGGAGCTTGTTCAACTGATATCATTAGTTACAACAGAATCGCCCTGGTTGGCATCCAAGCCTCCTTGAACTTGAGTTGTTTAAGAAAATTTCAAGGTTTTCCACTGATTTCTCTCTGTCGTGAGGACTTTAGATTCGGAGGTCTTCCCTTTTATATAACATCCCATAGTTATAAAAAAAAACCTAAACATATAAATATATGTACATACTTACAGGTTGAATATACAGTAAGCCGTGCTCGGTGAAAACATTTTTGCGGTCATTCGTATAAGCTTGGAATTGTCCACTCTGTGAGAGAAAAGAGGGAGGGAAGTTAATAGCAATACATTGAACATAAGCACAACCTAATCATGTTCAAGCAATAATCAAACGGAAAGTAGCCTATTATTTAATTGACTGAGAAGAATTTTAAGGAAATGGATAATAACTTGCATGTGAAGAAAATTTTTTTTTCATTACCTAGATAATAGCATGATGAAGGTTTCCAGTGACAAGGAAAGGAATTTCTGGTAGCTACTCCTGCTAAGCTGTGACTGCTGTTTTTGCAACTCACTGAATTCGTAGATGTATGACTGTCATTGTTTTCATGAATTGATTTTCATTTCTGTATTTGCGTAAAAAATTGATATCTTCTGGAGAGAGGTTTTTTGTAATGTGTGTATCAGAAAAACACACGTTGCCCATTACTTACATCATGGATTTAGAAGATCCATTCTCGGCCTTTAAGTTAAGATTAAAGTGTAAACATTTGAACATGACAGGACAATCTTGTTCTCTCAATTCACATGTTATCATGTTAACCAAGAAGCGCATTACGAGAAAACAGTTGGCCAACAGTTTATTGGTGATTTGTTGACAATGAAAATAATTGCAGCACACACCAAGATAAATATCTGTATCGTATTGGTGCTGCAAGTTTCTCTTTTTGTCGTACCGACAAAACTGTTTTGTAATAGTGCATTATTGCGCTAAGCATAACTGTTTAGTTTTAGTAAGCGTTTTACGGCATTTACAACACAATTAAAAGATAGTAACAAACATAAAAAGATGAAGGAATGATGAGAACGATACATGTTTGCTAACAAAGTAGGAGCAAACCACACCAGAGCACCCACCAACCACCCGCTAAGCTTAACTTAAAAAAGGAGTCTTGACTGCGTGAAGGCTAATATTATCCAGTTTCCAACCAAGAAGAATACAGCCTTTCTCAAGAAACTAAACAAAACAGCAGGTGTGTAGACTGCCACCAGGATTGACTTACGTAGCCTCCGTACATGGACACCTCGGGAACCCAGTTGTGTGTGTTCCAGGAATTGAAATCGTCTCGGAAAACCACTGCCCCTCGGATTTGCCTGGAGGGGATTTTCGGGGCAGTCCTTCGTTCGGTCACTCCTGAGTCATAAAATAAAGTTTTTTCATCAGTATATGTGAGGCAGCGTGGTGGAATCAGACTCTCGTCAATTTTTGGGCATGTAGAGTTATTGGCATCATCTTAAAGCTGGTTTACTTGTCTTTATATGAATGAAAAAAATATTCATTTATCTTGTATACACGTCGAGATATTTGCAAAAGAAGGAGGTGGGGTTCACCTACTTTCAGAGGTAAACTATGTGAGAAAATGGCCGCCAAAGATTAGTTATTTCCTTAGCTAGAGAGTCCGTGGTAACTAAATATTGACATTTTTGTGTACTTTTAATCAACGATTTTCAGAAAAATCCACACATAAATGAGTTCTTAAATGGGCCTGAAAGGTGTTGAGCCAAAAAAAACAAAAATCTGATAAAAATTCACAAACCTGCAGAAAAAAGATTTTGATTATTTTGACGAGAGCCTGATTCCACCACGCTGCTTCACATATAGTGAAGAGAGAAAAACCAGAGAGACGAAAAAGGCAGGGGGTGGCAGGAGTGGGGGTGGTGAGAGGGGGGAAGGATTGTAGGCAGACAGATAATATGATTGCACAGATGGACAAGACCATCAAATTCAGAAAGACGGTAGAACAGTAGAGATAGATTTTCTTCTCATATTTAGTCAGAACCAGGTCGTCATGTATTTTCTCAGCCTCGCCAGGGTTCTTTATAGTACCTCGATGCTTAAGGTTAGCATATCACGTGGAGTGTTGTCTAGAGCCCCTTCCATCTTCTTCTCACACACACAGTCCCACCTAGAAAAAAACATATCTTAACACCTCCCAGCCCCTAAACAAAAGGATAACAAAGGACTATTACGTTGTACTATGTTCAGCGTGATTAACTCTGGGGTAAAGGATTATTCAGTGATTTTATTGATTCAAATCATTTTAAACCTAAAGCATCATAGATATTAGACGTCTGAAAAAGTGTAAATATAAACTTCTTTTTAAAAAATAAATCAGAAGCAGAAGCTGACAATAGTAGTATGATAAGTTGTCTCTCTTATCTGTTCCTATTAGAGATGGAGAAGAATTGTTACACGCCTCATTGCCTCCAATACTTGAACTTACGTTAGCTAAACGCAAAAGACATGGTAACAGAAAAAAGCTTTTGTCTCAAACTTTTAAAAATGTTTTGTACCTCTTGATTTCCTCCTCAGTGACAGAAGGAGGGCTGAAAAAAATATGTATGTGCTACCTCAAAATTACAATTTTCTGTCTGACATTTTTGGACGTATTGAGTTACTAGGACCAAGTGATCGAAAACCAATTACGTTCTATATGCTCTATCGAAATCGTAAGATTATTTGAAGTCGTTATCAAGATATTCAAAGAAATGTATTCGAAAAAGCTTGAAATGATGTGAAAATCAAAATCTTTAATGACATTTTTCTCAAAAATAGGCAGTGAGGAGATATAGAACTTTGTAATTTTGAGGTAGCGAAATGACCCATTGATATAGTGATTTGGTTCTCACCGTTGTTCAATGTAGCATCCGCCCTAGAGATGGCAGTGGTGTGAGGAACACCACCGATGTTGTAGATGGCGAAAGCAGAGACCAGGAAGCGACCGCTCCTCTCCGCCAGTGTAATCTCATATTGCCATTCGTCCCCTGGTTAATGAGAAGAGCCTTATAACTCCATTGAAAAATGCGTGATTATTGTCATTCCACCTTTGAAGTTAAAACTCAAAATTACATAGATTTAACACTTTCGTATGGTGTACACTTTTTTTTCTCGCATACATATCTACGAACAGAGAAGAAACAGATAGAAATATAAACGATAATTATCATCAATTTTGTTCTTTTTTGTGCGACCTACAGTTTTAACATAATGGATCCTCTTTTCAAGAGAGTAGACAGTGTACCCTTTACAATAAAAAACCCCATGGACATGTGTTCTATTTTAAGGTAAAAAAGTATTTTACGTTATATTATGTGAGTTAAAAAGAATATACATAGATACCCACCTACTGGAGCAGCCCGTCCGGTTGATTCCCGTCCATTAATCGAGTACATGAAAGTGACATCCCTGGCTGCGGGGGCGTCGGACCCTGTGAGACAGGTACAATCATAATGATATGCAAAGTACAATTCATTATTGTGATCTTTTGTTATTTTATTTTGCTCTACATTTTCTTCTTGTTACCTTGATGCAAAAGTGTTTATTGAAGTTTGCATGTAGTCGATTGAACGGTATAGATGGGTTCGATTTGGCTCAGCGGAAAATAACCTCTGCCCCCAAAGCCATATGCCGGTCATGTGGATATGGAGGGAAGAGAGAGAGAGAGAGAGAGAGAGAGAGAGAGAGAGAGAGAGAGAGATTATGTTAAGACAAAAGACACTGACTGGGACTAAGTAGTTGCGTCCGTTGAAAGAACGAAGGAAGTCGATGCAGCTCCTCTAGAATGGATGATAGCTATTTAATATTGCGAACGCATTGTTAGCTTGAGTGAAAGTGTTGGTGATCCCCCCTCCCCCCCCAAAAAAAGGAAAAAAAATTTAATAAATTATTCTTCCAAACTTGACAATTGGAACTAAATTCTAACAACAACGAACCACCGGTGCCAGAAAACGACTGCTTCTCTCCTGTTGAGGAGGACGCCGCACATGAAGACATAGCTGTGTCTAGCGAGAGTGTGAAAAGGTCAGAAGGAACAACATTAATTGCAGAATCAGAAAAGGACCTACAGCGACAGAAAAAAACCCGTAAAGGGTTAATGCTCAACACAAAGAGAACACAATGCGGCGTAATATCTTCTTTTTTTTTAAAAAAGGGAGCACATTGTATTTGTAATCTCAAAAGCGAAGGTGAACAAATCAGTTGTTTAAATATTTTAGTTATAGCCTGCAGTTACAACCAGTGTCAAATTTCGACAGAAATAAACCGTCGGTGGCCTAGTGGTTAGGCTCTCGGACTCGCAACCGTAAGGTCGTGGGTTTGAATCCCGTCAGAGGCCCGACGTTGTGTCCTTGGGAAAGGCACTTTACACTTATTTTCCTCACTTCACCCAGGTGGGAATGGGTACCCGGCTATAGACAGCGAAAGATCTTGTCAGTTTGTTAGTGTTTGAGCGCTTAATCGGCTGCTCGCACTGTATGCTTCCCGGGAAGCTGAGAATGTTTCGGAGTGTTCTATGGTCTGCTGGGGTAATAATATAGTGTAAAGCGCATAGAGCCTGCTGTTGAGCGGGGATATGCGCTATACAAATGCTATCTACTATTATTATTATTATTAGACAGCTAGAAACATCTCAATGACAACAAATGTAAGAGTTCTAAAACGAGGATCAGTGATCAATCCTTCTATGCCACCGTGAACGCCGAACAATTACAGCTACCAAAGATAGTGGAAATAAAATAAAAACAAAAGAAGTCTTGGTTCCCAGAAGACAGTTTATAATCCCATGGAAGAAAAAGAAATCAAATCATGAGGCTATAACTGAAAGAAGCTTTTGAGGGGTGCTCGCTAATACAAACATTTAAAAAGACATAAAGGCAGTTCCTGGGACACTTGGGTCGACAAAAAGGCCTTGGGCATCTTGCTCTCACCAGAAAAATATAAGGGAAAAGGAGGCAAAGGTAGGGACAGAGTAACTTACTTTGAAAGCCTTAATAAAACTGGGTGACGGAGACAGACCAGGATAATAATGACAAATAATAGTTTTTTTTAGAGCATCCCAACACAGAAAAAAATGACAAAACATTATCGTCGATGTCCGTTTTGATCTTGTTCTGTATGATGATGGCGTGGCCTGACTTTGGTATGTTTCTTTTCGCAGTTCGTGAATCTTATTCTTTCATACGCTTAAAAATGTTTACCGTTAAATTGATTAGATAAAACACCACGTTTTTTAAAACTCAAACAGCAGACATGACAAATAATATTGTTGTCGTTTTTGTTTTAAGTAGTGATGTTTCGTTTTTAAAACTTATCATAATACCGGAAGGACTGATTACACCCCCTCCCCCCCAAAAAAAAATAAAAAAAATAACCACGCTGTGTAAGGATAAAATGAAAAAAAGATCGGTGGTTTTTTTTTTACCTCAGCCTGCTATTAGCTCTGCTCTGGTGTACTGGCAGAAGCCGTTGTTTCAATACACCAACTTTATCAATGCGAGAGAGGAAACAGATGTGCCACAAGTGAAAACCTGTTCGGAGTTCAAGGTGAAAGTCTTGCTGGGAGCAAGATGAATGCTTGCGTGTACTTTCAGACGACTTTTTAGCCCACTATCAAAATGTATACTGCTTATTCTGGTATAAAAATAGTTTGATGAGAATTAATGGTTGCACATTAAGGCAAAAGCGACTTTGACGTCATCGTTTAGTGTAATCAAAGATAGTACATAACAAGATGGGCCACTCAGGCAAAAAAGTGTCCGCAGGAAGTATGCTCTTTGCTTCAGGTGGCGCTGCAGTCTGTTTTGAAGCTCTCTTTCGTTTTACCAGAAGAAGAATAGGAATAGCACCTTTTTGCGTGCGCAGATCGACTGCTGTTCATCAGCAGTTTGGGTTCGTTCAGTGTGGAGTTTTAGTTGTTTTTTATTTTAATGACCTCTAGCCTTTCATTCTTAAGTCAAATTAAACGAAGAAAACAATCACCCTTTCCTCCGGAAGAGGTTTTTTGTCAGCGTAACCATTTTAAAAAAGCGTTCTTCCAAAGGAGATTAAAAGTAGTTCTAAACTCCTTGGTTCTCCCGAAATTCATTCAAAAACTTGCTAGTTTCACTTTGATTTTTTAAAACTCAAGTAGGATAACTCTGTTCGCAAAAGGTGCGCTTTTGCGAAGAGGGCGCCACCGAATTTTGAGGACACTTTTTTATTTGGCTCAAAGAGAGAAATGGCCCCTCTTGTTATGTAGACTCTTTGGTGTAATCGGTTACCGTATCGAGTACTGTAAGATGACATAGGTTGTATAAAAAATCGTACACAACAAGATGGTTCACTCCTTTCTTTGAGCTTATATAAAAGCGTCCTAAAAAAGCGACCACTTAGCGAACAAAGTTACCCCACTTGAGTGAAAAGGTGAAAGTGAATTTAACGAGTTTTTGAATAAATTAGAATTTCAATTTCGGAAGAGCGCCTTTTTAAATGGTTACGCTGTAAACAAGGTTTCTTCTCAGCTGGAAGAGGCGACTATTTTCGTCTCTTAATTTGGCTTTACAATGTGAGTGTACGATCTGTGGTTATAATATGCCAAAAATCCTTTACTCCAAGTGTGGTGTCTGTGATTGTATCAAAGAGTCTACATAACAAGAGGGTCCACTCCTCTCTTTGAGCCAATTAAAAAAGTGTCCTAAAAATTCGTTGGCGCCCTCTTCGCAAATGCGCACCCTTTGTGAACAGAGTTACCTTACTTGTGTTAAAAAAAATCAAAGTGAAACTAACAAGTTTTTGAATAAATAAGAATTCAAATTTCGGAAGAACGCTTTTATAAAAATGGTTGCGCTGACAAAAAACCTCTTCCGGAGTAGGGATAACTGTTTTCTTCGTTTAATTTGTTTAAATTCGCATGTGGTATATTTTTGTTCATAAGTGTTTTACAGCGCTCGCAACTGTACACGGTCATATGAGTACACTTTAGTAAGTTGGTACTTCAGAGAGATCTTCAATCGTTTCTGACCTTTGGTAGATTCGATGGTTTCATCAAAACAAAATGTTCTTTTCGCGTTTCGGAATTTTGGAAACTTTTTTTGGGAGATGGGGGATAAACAGTTTTATCTTTTAAATATATTGGTAAATTTAAGGATTTCTGCAGTGCAAGCGTGCAGCATCGTTTGAAATATCGTTCAAAAGTTGGAAAAAATGAGAACTGTTATAAAACCTTTCTCTTTACATCACCAGCGAGCAGATAGATGAGTTAAAGCTTGGGCTTCAACTCCAAAAGTTGTAGAGAGTAAATTTCTTGACAATGCCCACACAAAGGCAAAAGATAAATAATTTTTTCCTCTTAATTTCATCATTGTCTACGAATTGAATACTCAAAGTCTTGGTTTAGAACTGGTGAGTGTTAACCCTTTTAATAGATCCACAATTTATCAAGAACATACTGCGGCTTTTTTGGACAATCAAACAGCTACATATCTTGATCATAATGGGTATGATCTTCTTTCACTCCTTCACAATACAGTCCTGCAACGCTTGAAGAATCTATGGCTTCTTAGAGAGTCAGTCTCTTCTGTGTCGGTTAAAGCGCCACAACTATTGGCGCATGTGGAAACATCTCGGGAATGCATTCGAAATTTCCTCGGAAATTCGTCCGTTAATCGAACCGTATTTAAGCAGTTCATATTCTGACACTAAGAAACTATTTGAAAATGGTACTTACATACTTTGCAAAAGCTTGGACATTTAAAAAAAGAATGCTTTCTATGGCAAGGAAAACTATCAGCTCGCCAGGGTGATGCGGGATGGCGTGAAAAGATACTACGTGTCTGCCCCCGCCATAGTGCGGTGCTGTGTCTCGAAAGGGAGCGCAATAGACCACGCTAACATGGTGGGTGTGACACCAAAAGGTGTATACACATTTGCTTATCATCACGGGATGCAGTTAGATTTGAGAGACTGTCAGTGTTGTTGTTACCTTCCATGGATATTTTCT